ACTGCTGGGCAAGAAGCTCTCGCACAAAGAACAGGATAGATAATGCATGGACGAATCGAGCACACTCATGGCATCAGCCCCGTCTTGAAACATTGAGGCTTGTTTCCTCAAGCGACTGTCAGATACCACAGAGATGTTTGTGCATCATCTGCCTCGTTGCGCTCCTACACTGGCGCCACGACACTAGAGAGCCTGGCATGCATGCACCCAGAGGTTAGACACAAGAGAAGCCAGGACAAGGCTGCTGTGCAACACGTCCTGGAGTCTTTGTGGCGCGCAGAATTTGAAAAACCGACCTCGCACGAGCATGAAAGCTGGGCCCGGGGTCTGCTCGCGACGGCCCAAGCGTGCCTCGACGGCCTGCGCTGGCATGAACCGACCTGGGATGGACCTGTGTTCGAGGTGGTCACATGCAAGACTGGGGCCAGACGCGGGCCAGAAGGAATAGACTGCAGGGCAAGAGACTCACGTACGAAAAGCAGGGCAGGTCATGCATTGGAGCGAATCGAGCACACTCATGGCATCAGCCCCGTGTTGAAACATTAAGGATTGTTTCCTCAAACGACTGTCAGATACCACAGAGATGTGTGTGTGTGTGTGTGCATCATCTGCCGCTTTGCGCTCCTACACTGGCGCCACGAGACTAGAGAGCCTGGCATGCATGCACCCAGAGGTTAGACAGAAGAGAAGCCAGGGCAGGGCTGCTTTGCAACACGTCCTGGAGTTTCTGTGGCGCGCAGAATTGGAACCCAGACCTCGCACGAGAATGCAAGGTGGGCCCACGGTCTGCTCGCGACGGCCCGAGCGTGCCTCGACGGTCTGCACTGGCATGAACCGATCTGGGATTGACCTGTGTTCGAGATGGCCACATGCAAGACTGTATCCAGACGCGGGCCAGAAGGAGATAGACTGCAGGGCAAGACATCAACGCGCAACAATCAGGACAGGTCATGCAAGAACCAATCGAGCCCCCTGGCACGTGGAGGCGTGGAAGAATCCCACGGTTTGTCTCGTAGAGTTCATTTAATAAGGACCCGCCTCTCCCTCTACCAGCAGACTCTTGCGTGCACCGCCTCCTTCTCCTCCTTCTCTTCCTCATCCGCCTGCTCCTTCTTCCTCCTCCCTCTTTCTCCTCCCCCTCTCCCTCCTCCTCCACCCCCTCTTGAGGTAAGACGTCTTCACCCAGCCCTGCATTCCGCTGCATGCTCCTCCACATCCTGGACCAGGACAACTCGTCTGGGCATCGTTTCTGGATGGGCTGGTGCGGTTACGCGGAGCTGCTACAATTGGGACCCCGACCTCACACGAGAATGCAAGGTGGGCCCGGTGTCTGCTCGCGACGGCCCAAGCGTGCATCGACGGTCTGCACCGGCTGTGTTCGAGGATCGCAACATGCAGAACTATATCCAGACGCGGGCGAGAAAAAGATCGACTGCTGGCCAAGACATCTACGAACAAAAAGAAGGACAGGTCAGGGATGGGCGAATCGAGCACAATCATGGCATCAGCCCCGTCTTGAAACATTAAGGATTGTTTCCTCAAGCGACTGTCAGATACCACAGATGTGTGTGTGTGTGTGCAGCATCTGCCTCTTTGCGCTCCTACACTGGCGCCACGACACCAGAGAGCCTGGCATGCACGCACCCAGGAATTAGACACAGTAGAAACCAGAACAAGGCTACTGCGTTGCAACACGTCCTGGAGCCTGTGGCGCGCAGAATTTGGACCCCGACCTCGCACCAGAATGCAAGGTGGGCCCGGGGTCTGCTCGCGACGGTCCAAGCGTGCCTTAACGGTGTTCAACGGCATGAACCGATCTGGGAAGGACTTGTGTTCAAGATGGTCACATGCAAGACTGTATCCAGACGCGGGTAAAAAGGAGGCAGAGTGTTGGGCAAGAGACTCACGCATAAAAAGCAAGACTGGTCATGCATGGACGAATCGAACACGCGCGCATGATTGGGACCCCGACCTCGCACGAGAATGCAAGGTGAGCCGAGAGTCTGCTCGCGACGGCCCGAGCGTGCCTCGACGGTCTGCACTGGCATAAACCGACCTGGGATGACTGCAAACTGTATTCAGACACGGCCAAACAGCGATAAACTGCAGCACGCTTCAAGCGACTCACGCACAATTGCCCTGTGACGTACCCAAACCACTTGCATCAAAGGGCAAGAGGAGTTGGCCCAAACTTTCCTTGAGAAAGCAGTGACGGTGCAGGCGCCGTTCTATGTTTTGCAAGCTACCTGGGACGCGCCCACGTGGCACGACTCGCGGACAACAGAAGGAGGACGATGAGCAAGGGCCCAGGCTCGAGGAAGACATGGGGGGCGGGAACGACAGCAAGAAATGGACGCGTGGGGGCCGACCAGTCAGCACGGCAGCAGCGAAAGGAAAATGGCAAGGGGGCAGAGGACGACGACGAAAGTGACCGGAGGAGGCCGAATAGCGTTGCGTTTGTCGGAAGTACGCTAAACATGCAGCGCTGCCTGCGCCATGTCGCCGCGGCGTTTGACCTAAGTATTGCACAGGCTCGGCTTTCATACTTAATGCAAAAAGCGAGCGATGCCGATCTCGTCCGCCAGTTTCTCTGTTTCCTCAGTGCGGGAGTTAAACGCTCGAAAGCGCGCCGCCAGGTCTGCGGGCGGCCCGCGACAGCGACCTGCTGGACCCCCCAGCAGCCCTCCAGAGCGGTGCAGATCGCAACCTCCCAGGGATGGCGGCGAAGTCTCAGTTGAATCAAGGTGGTGCCTCACCCAGCTGCTGAACGCCCCAGCAGCCTTCGCAACTGACGACAGTTTCGCAGATCGCAGCCCCACGAAGATGGCGAGGTCGAGTATAAATCTAAGTGGTGCCTCACTCCGCTGGATTCCCCAGCGGCCCTCGAACATGGCAGCATTTTCGCAGATCGAAGCCACGCAGGGATGACCAGGTAGAAAGCACGCTGACACGCAGGATGGAGCGTGGTAAGAGACAGGCAGGAAAGATGTCAGGAGGAGGAGGCAGGCGAGAAGGAGGAGAAGGAGACGCGCGCGCGCACTGCTCTGATTCAAAACGCGTACGCAACGCCAGCAGGGCTGGCTTGAACCTGGCGATAGTTCGCGCAAGGAGCGAGCGAGGCCCGGCTCGCCCGCCAGGCAGGCACTGCTTCCTTCCTGCCTGCTGTTCTCAGCGCGGGAACCAAACGCTCGAAGGCGGGCCGCCAGGTCTGCGGGCGGCCCGCGGGCCAGGAAGTACAGGGCCGGGGCCGTGCATCATCAGGAGATTGTCCACGGTCGTTGCACAGGTACAAATACAAAAACCATGCGCCAGCCCTTGGCACGACGCTTGGGCACCACTGCCGCCACTGAGCCGGGTTTCCGGTAGGGCGCGTGGGCGGTCGTTGCACGCACAGGCAACAGAAAAAGGCGCCACTGCGCTGGAGCCCAGGGATGGCGAGACCTCCAGGTGGTCCGCGTAGGACGTCGCTCCGCTGGACCCCCCAGCAGCCGTCTAAAGTGGCGACAGGTTCGCAGATCACAGCCCCTCAGGGATGGCGAGGATTCCTGGTTGTCCGCGTAAGACGTCGCTCCGCTGGACCCCCCAACAGCCCTCGAAAATGACACAAATTTTCACAGATCGCAGGATGGCGAAAGCCCATCTGAATCTATGACGTTACTCCGCTGGGCCCCCCAGCAGCCCTCGAAAATGACGACAGTCTCGCATATCGTAGGCCCACAGGGATGGCGAGGTCTCATTGGGATCTCGGTAAGACGTCGCTCCGCTGGACCCCCCGGCGCAGCCCTATGAAGTGGCGACAGTTTCGCAGATCGCAGCCCCCCAGGGAGGGCGAAGTTTCCTGGTGGTCCGCGTAAGACGTCACTCCGCTGGACCCCACAGCAAACCTCGAAAGTGGCGCCAACTTCACAATTCGCAGCCCCACAGGGATGGCGAGGTCTCTGGATCTGGGTAAGACGTTATTCCGCTGACCCCCCAGCAGCCCTCGAAAATGACGACAGTTTGAATCTCGGCAGAACGTCACTCCGCTGGACCCCCCAGCAGCCCTCGAAAATGGCGACAGTTTCGCAGATCGCAACCTCCCAGGGATGGCGAGGTCTCATATGAATCGGGGTAGGACGTCACTCCGCTGGACCACCAGCAACCCTCGAAAGTGGCGACAGTTTCGCAGATCGCAGCCACCCAGGGATGGCGAGGTAGGAGACAAGCTGGCACGCAGGAGTGAGCGAGGTGAGAAGCAGGAGAGAACAGGGGAGGGGGCGGGAAGGAAGGAAGGCAGGGGTGCGACCGCAGTACTCGACCGCAGTGCTCCATTCAACACAGATACCCAATGCAGGAGGGTTGGGAAAAAGCAGGACAGGTCATGCATGAACGAATCGAGCACAATCAGGGCATCAGCCCCGTCTTGAAACAGCGACTGTCAGATACCACAGAGATGTGTGTGCATCATCTGCCTCTTTGCACTCCTACACTGGCGCCACAACGCTAGAGTGCCTGGCATGCATGCACCCAGGAGTCAGACACAATTCAAGTCAGGACAGGGCTGCTTTGCAACACGTCCTGGAGTCTCTGTGGCGCGCGGAACTGGGACCCCGACCTCGCACGAGAATGCAAGGTGGGCCCGGGGTCTGCTCGCGACAGCCATGACGGGACTGCGTTCGCGAGATAGCCGCATTCAAGTGCCGAAGAGAGCAACCACATATTCCCACAAGCCTCCACCAAGACGCTCTTCAACCACGCCCCCTTCCCTCCTCCCTCACTTTCTTCCCTACTTCCCCCTCAACCTTCCAGTCCTCCTGCGAAGATGTCCCTTCTCATCCCTCCTTTCTCCTCCGCATCTTGTCATCCCCCCTGCGCCACTACCTCCAACCCCTTCCCTCCCCTTCCCTCCTCCCGCCCCCTGTTCCCTCTTCGTCCCTCGTGGTGCCTACCTCCTCCTCCTCCTCCTCCTCCTCCTCCTCCTCCTCGTCACAGTGTGTGGTCGCAGCCCCATCAGAAGGCTCCGGCTGGTCGATGCGCAGGTTGTCGCAGAGCTTGCTGAACTTGAAGCGGTTCTCGCAGCAGTCGATCGCCTGCCCAAGGCCGATGCGAGTTACTTGTGTCTAACCGCCACCGTGCCCTGAGGCACGAGTCTGAGTGTCCGTGGGTCCCTTCGGAGTCTGCCGCCCTCAAACATTCATTCCCCGTCCTCAGTCCGAAGATGCCCCGAGGTGTCCCCAAGCCGCCTCCAAGAGGCTCCCGCGAGGTGTCCCAAGAGATCCCCAGGCATCCAAGAGGCCTCCGACCTATAACCCAGGCACGGTTGCGGAATGGGCCGAAGGTCAATCAATACGCCGCCCCCTGCTGCTTGCCACAAGGGATACTCCGGATTCCATAATAGATTAGGGGGGGTCACATCTGGGGGGGGGGTCTGATTTGAGGTGTCTTGGAGGGTTCGGGGGGGTCTGGGCAAAGGGCCGCCCTTTGATGGATAGTCTGGGGGGTCTAAAATTTCTCGTCTGGGAGGGTTGTGACCCCCTCCCTTTTATTACGAAATCTGGAGTACACGACGGGTGAATTTTAGGTACTGCTGGTTCTTTTGACAATTCCCCCATGGGCCTTCGGCCGATCGCGGCGGCCACCTGGAAGGACCCACAGGGACGCGCAAGGCGGGGAGAAACCAAACAGATCGTCTCCAGAACGGCCAAGATGGTTCCAAGATATGGCCTCCAAGATGCCCCCAAGACGGCTAAGATGTTTCCAGGAGAGCCCAAGACGGTCCCAAGGCGCCTCCAAGACGGTCAAGATGGCCCCAAGACTGTCAAAGATGCGCTCCAGACGGCCCACGAGGCCCCAAACACGCCCCGAAAGGGCTCCAAGAGGACCTCCAGGAGGTCAAAATCATTGTTCCTTCGCTTATTCAATGATTTTAGCGTTTTCGCCTTTTCGGGCTTCCGACGCCCCAGGACGGCCCCAGAGGCCCCAAAGATCGCCTCAAGACGGCACAAGAGGCCCGCAAGGTTGCCCAAGAGGGCCCCATAGACCTCCAAGACGGCCCTATAGCGCCCAAAGCGGGACCCACGACGACTGCCAAGAGTAGGCCCCAAGACGGGCTCCGAGGGCCAAGAGGTCCCTTCGAGGCCCCTCCGCATGGGGCCACGAAACGTGTAAGGGGTGTGCCGACATGGGTGTGCGGGACGCATGCGGGCACACCCACTGGGACCTTCGGTGGAGCTCCCTATGGAGCCACGAAGCGTGTGAGGGGTGTGCCGAAATGGGTGTGCGGGACGCATGCGGGCACACCCACTGGGACCTTCGGCGGAGCTCCGTATGGGGCCACGATATGGGTGTGCGGAGGGGGAGGGGGAGGAGGCAGCGGGAGGAGGGAGGAGGAAGGAGAAGGGCAGAGGCTTCAAAGAGGTTCTGGAGGCGTTCCCAGGCGGCCCCAGGAGGCCCGCATGAGGTCCCCCAGAAGCCCCCGAGGGGCTCCCGGGAAGCCACCGGGAGGCCCCAAGGTGCCTCAGGATGCCTCCTCGTCTTCCTCATCCTCTTCGTCCTCCTGATCCTCTCTCTCCTCCTCCTCCTCCTCCTCCTCCTCCTCCTCCTCCTCCTCCTCCTCATCCTCCCACTCCTCCTCCTGCTCCTCCTCCTCCTCCTCCTCCACCTCCTCCTCCTCCTCATCATCCTCCTGTTCATCCTCCCCTCCTATCTTTTCCTCGCCCCAGAGTTCCCCCAGGTGATTTCACAACGGCTGGGGGAACACACAATCCAATAGCTTGGCTAGACTTCGGCCCAGCGTCTGGCCGCACGGGCGTTTCCAATTAGCAGGGGGCGGCGGCAACTCACCGCAGGCGTCTTCGACATGTATTTCTAACTGTGCATATATATATATATATATATATATATATACACACACATCTATAAGTATGTGTATACAGCGGGCAGGGCCGTCCAAAGGCCCAGGATCGCCCAGGCCAAGCCTGTCCTCTGCGAAGATGAGGAAGAGGCCACCGACGCGGACCCTTGGCGATTCGAGCGAGGTCGTGCTGGAGGCTTTCGATCACTTCGGCGCCGGGGGGCCGCGCCAAAGCCCAAGGCGCAGTCCAAGACACGATGCTGGCCTTGCGAAGCTGGTCTCGGGGTAGGGGTGGAGAGCTCTGACGGCGAGCGACTGGAAGAAGCCTGTGTCGTCGGAGGTCTGGAGATAATTCCAGACGAGGTACGCCCATCCTGGCCAGGCCCACCTTGGGCCCTGAATTGGACTGGGTCGATTATGGCGAATGCGACCGCCCTGGAACCTCCAATTATCCTGGCGAAGGACCCGACCATGTGCAGTTGTGAATACCGCAGTGGTGATTATTTCCTTCGGTGGAGCTCCATAGCCGCATGTGAACACAGCCGGCCTTCGGTGGAGCTCCCTATGGGGCCACCGAAACGTGCGAGGGATGTGCAGAAATGGGGGGTGGGCCCACATGCGAACACAGCCACTGGGGCCTTCGGTGGAGCTCCCTATGGGGCCACCGAACGTGTGAGGAGTGTGCCAACATGGGAGGCGGAACCGCATGCGAACGCAGCCACTGGGGCCTTCGGTGGAGCTCCCTATGGGGCCACGTAACGTGTGAGGAGTATGCCAGCATGGGGGGTGGGACCGCATGCGAACGCAGCCACTGGGCCTTCGGTGGAGCTCTCTATGGGGCCATGAAACGTGTGAGGAGTGTGCCGACATGAGGGGTGGAACCGCATGCGAACGCAGCCACCGGGGCCTTCGGTGGAGTTCCTTGTGGGGCCATGAAACGTGAGGAGGTGTGCCGAATTGGAGGTGGAACCGCATGCGACCGCAGCCACTGGGGCCTTCGGTGGAGCTCCTTGTGGGGCCACCGAACGTGTGAGGTGTGTGCTATTGGGAGGTGGAACCACATGCGACCGCAGCCACTGGGGCCTTCGGTGGAGCTCCCTATAAGGCCACAAAACAAGTGATGCAAGCAAGCAAAATGCTGAGTACGAAACGCACATGAGCACATGGCCACTATCACGTGGTATCGCAATACTTGCTGACTGCGACACGCCACGCCGTGGCCGAAGAAATGGTGTCCTGGCAGAGCGCCGGAAGGGCCTCCACACCCCCAGCTGCTTCGCAAGCGTGCCTGTAAACTTCCTGGGACCACGTTGCTCGTGGTCGCCCTCTATTTCTCTTGGTGGGAGGGGGGAGGAGGAGGGAGGAAAACGTGTGATGGTTGTGCCGAAATGGAGGGCGGAACTGCATGCAAACGCGGCCACTGGAGCCGTCGGTGAAGCCCCCCATGAGGCCACGAAACGTGCGAGGAGTGTGCCGAAATGGGGGGTGGAACCACATGCGAACGCAGCCACTGGGGCCTTCGGTGGAGCACGGTGGAGCTCCCTATGAAGCCACGAAGCGTGCGAGGAGTGTGCCAGCATGGGGGGCGGAACCGCATGCGAACGCAGCCACTGGGGCCTTCGGTGGAGCTTCCTATGGGGCTACGAAACGTGTGAGACAGGCAAAGGCAGACAGAGGCAGACAGAAACAGGGATGGGAGGAGGAAGGAGGGGACAGAGGCAGGGATGGGAGAAGAGGAGGGGAAGGGGGAGAACGAGAGGAGTGGAGTGAAGGACGCGGGGCGCTGTCTCTTCAAAACGAGAACCCAACACCACAAGATGGTTGGGAAAAAATCTTCCCGAAAGTCCCTGCGAATCTCCAAGACCAAAAAAAACTTCTGGATAATCTCAAAAAAACTTCGCCTCTAGAACACCATCTCCAAACCACGCTCGCGCCTTACAAAAGATCCCACGACATCTGCTAACACATCATATCTTGAAATAAGTCTCCAACCAAATCTCCCCTTGAGATTCCCCACTATTTTCTGGAGAATTCTGCACGCTGGGGATTTTCCGTAGACATGATCTGGAGATGTCCACAAGCCGGAAATGTTCCATAGATTTCCCAGAGATTCCTGCACCGAGGGAATGTTCCGGGGATTTCCCTGGAGATGTGTGAAGCCCGGTGATTTTGGCGAGACTTCCCTGGAGATGAGCCTGGAGATATTCGGAAGATTTGTGGGAATGCCCAAAAACAAATTGGAGAATTCCCCGGGAATCTATCACACAGAGGGCCCCAGTCGCCCTTGCCATACTGACTCAATCTAAACCCATCGTCGGCGTGGGTGTAAAGCCGATGCCCTCCGAGAGGAAGGAGGGAGGGAAGAAGAGAAAGAGACAAACAGAGAGAGAGAGAGAGAGAGAAACAAACAACGAAACAGACAGACAGACAGACAGACAGACAGACAGACAGACAGACAGACAGACAGACAGACGGACGACACACAGACAGACAGACAGAAAGACAGACGGACGGGCAGACAGACCGACAGATAGACACAGGGACAGACAGACTGACAGAGAGAGAGAGAGACTGTATACCACCTCATCGTCATCCTAGTTGTCCTCACTTTCCGCCTCGCCCTCCTCCAACTCATCATGTTCGGCATGATAATAATCTTCCTTCTCCCCATACTCCTCGTAAATATCCTTCTCCTCGTCGCACTCCTCCTCCATTCCTGTCCTTTATCTATATATAATAATAATGCACAAAAACAGACGAACTTCTCCCTGTCGCACCCCGAGGACAATTTTTAGGGCGGGCCAGGCATTTCGCCTGAGAATTCCTCACCATGTCTGACCCTGAACCTTTTAAATTCGCAACAGTTTCGCAGATGGAGGGCGGGTCGCTTTCAAAATGTGGTTCTCGCCTTAGCGCCGCGCACATTGATTATAAAATATTTGCACACGAATTTCACGGAATGAGGGCGAATAGATTTCAAAATGTGACTCTCGCCTTAGCACCGCGAACATTCGTTCTTGAACTTTGCAAGGACTTCACGGATTGAGCGCGAATTGTTTTCAAAATGTGGCTCTCGCCTTACCGCCGCACATACTCGCTATGAAAATGTGCAAGAGCTTCACGCATTGAGAGCGGCTTATTTTCAATGTGTGGCTCTCGCCTCAGCGCCGCGCACATTCGTTTCTTTAGTCCCACCAGCCCTTTGGGCGTGAGTGGTTTAGCGAGCTCTCTCTGTTCTCAACCCCCCTTCTTCCCCTTCGGGGAGGGGTTTACCCCTCCCCCTTACCCCCTCCCCCTGGACCTGGAGAGGGGGTTTCGCGGGTGGTCAGAGGGTCCTTTTTCTATCCCTGGGAGGGCTAAAATTCGACACCCCTCACGAGGATCGTGGCCCCGACGGGGGTACTGACAAAAATGCTCGCCCCATCTGTGATCGATCGCCCCAAAGATGGCCCCAACAGGCCCCCAAGACGCTCCAAGAGGCGCCCAAGAGGGCCCCCGGACGCTCCCAAGAAGCTCAAAAGAGAGCCCAAGAGGCCCCTCTACGATCTCCAAGAGGCCTCCAAACTGCCTTTTGAGGCCCCAAGAGGCCTCCAAGAGGCCCCCAAGATGCCCCCAAGAGGCCCCCAAGAGGCCCCAAGAGGCTCCCCCGAGGCACCCAAGACGTTCCTGGAAGCCCCTGGGGCCGCCAAAAGGCCCCCAAGACGCCCCAAACGGCCTCCAAGAGGCTCCCAAGAGGCCCGAAGAGGCTCCCCCAAGGCACCCAAGACGCTCCTAGAAGCCCCTGGGGCCGCCAAGAGGCCCCCTAAGACGCCCCAAAAGGCCACCAAGAGGCTCACAAAAGACATCTACTACTACATCTACTACTACTACTACTACCACCACCACCACCACCACCACCACCACCACCACCACCACCACCACCACTACTACTACTACTACTACTACTACTACTACTACTACTACTACTACTACTAACTACTACTACTACTACTACTACTACTACTACTACTACTACTACTACTACTACTACTACTACTACTACTACTACTACTACTACTACTACTACTTACTACTACTACTACTACTACTACTACTACTACTACTACTACTACTACTACTACTACTACTACTACTACTACTACTACTAGGTCAGAGGCTGTTCGGTAGCCTGTGTGTTTTCGCATATGCAGTAAGCGAATGCCCGCGCAGCGACGACGACGACGATGACGACGGAGAGGATGAGGAGGAGCACGAGGAGTAGGAGGAAGTGGGAGGAATAGGGAGGAGGAGGAGGAGGACGAGGAGGAGGCGAATGAGGAGGCGGAATGATAGGAGAGGCTGGTGCAGCGTGACAGGGATGGCGAGGAGGAGGAGGAGGAGGGAGATGACATTGGAGAGAAGAAGCTCCCGTCTTTCCGACACCTCCGGAGCTCTCGCATGAATGCAGGCACATGGGACGATTACCTTTCAAGGTCGCACGTCCAGTTGTGAAAGGGAATGCTTGCACGGACATGTGAATAGGGAACATGGGACGGAAGGGTGCATTACAGCATCGTTCGTGCACATTGGGCTTACTCTGAACTTCCTGTTCCTCGTCTTCCTCCTCCTGATCGTCCTACGGGATGGTGCATTGCAGCATCGTTGATGCATCATGGCGTCACTCTGGATATCCTCCTCCTGCTCCTCATACGGTAGGGTGCATTACAGCATCATTGATGCACCCTGGCTTCACCATGCACCTCCACGTCTTCCTCCCCCCCATCCTCCTCCTCCTCCTCCTCCTCCTCCTCCTCCTCCTCCTCCTCCTCCCTCCCTCCCCTCATCCGCTCCCCCTCCTCCCCACAGCTTCCATCAACTTCGCCAGCCAAGGCTCCAAAACCATTGAAAAACCAATAAACCCAAAACAAACCCAATTAATCCCTGTGAGGGTCCCAAAAAACTCAAAAAACGCAATCTTTTCGCTACTTAGTCGGCCTGGGGCTCGGGGGGCTGGGAATCCAAAAACATTGGAAAACCATTGAAAATCAAAAAAAATCTAAAAAAATCAAATTAATCCCTGTGAGGGTCCCAAAAAACTCAAAAAAACCCAATGTTTTCACAACTTACTCGGCTTGGGTGGCCGGCCAGCCCCAGACAGACTAAGTTGCGAAATGATTGAGTTTTTTTTAGTTTTTCGGGACCCTCACATGGATTAATTTGATTTTTTTGGATTTTTTTGGATTTTCAATGGTTTTCCAATGTTTTTGGATTCCCAGCCCCAGAGCCCCAGGCCGACTAAGTAGCGAAAAGATTGCGTTTTTGAGTTTTTTGGGACCCTCACAAGGATTAATTTGATTTTTTTGGATTGTTTTGGGTTTTCAATGGTTTTCCAATGTTTTTGGATTCCCAGCCCCAGAGCCCCAGGCCGACTAAGTAGCGAAAAGATTGCGTTTTTTTTTTTGAATTTTTTGGGACCCTCACAGGGATTAATTGGGTTTGTGTTGGGTTTATTGGTTTTTCAATGGTTTTGGTGCTGTTATCTCCGACTGCTCCTTCCTCCTCCTCCTCCTCCTCCTCCTCATCATCATCATCATCATCATACTCCTCCTCATGGTTCAACGCACGTGGGAGGTTCACACACGCATGGCAGCGGAACAACACATACAACCAACAGCAAACATGAGACACGCAACAGCGCAGCAAACAAGTAGCACAACAAGTTAAACGCAGCACAGCGAAAACACACAGGCTACCAAACAGCCCCTCAGCTACTACTACTACTACTACTACTACTACTACTACTACTACTACTACTACTACTACTACTACTACTACTACTACTACTACTACTACTACTACTACTACTACTACTACTACTACTACTACTACTACTACTACTACTACTACTACTACTACTACTACTCCTACTACGAGGGGCCCGAACGACTTGCACCAGGACGAGGTGCCCGAACGCCTCACGCCACGAGGAGCCCGAACGACTCACACCAGGACGAGGGGCCCGAACGACTCACACCACGAAGAGCCCGAACGACTCACACCAAAGGAGGGGCCCGAACGACTCACACCAGGACGAGGCGCCCGAACGACTCACACCACACCCGAACGACTCACACCGAGGGCCCCGAACGACTCACACCACGAGGAGCCCGAACGAGTCACACCAGGAGGAGGGGCCCGAACGACTCACACCAGGACGAGGGGCCCGAACAACTCACACCACGAGAAGCCCGAACGACTCACACCAGGACGAAGAGCCCGAACGACTCACACCACGAAGAGCCCGAACGACTCACACCAGGAAGAAGGGCCCGAACGACTCACACCAGGACGAGAAACCCCAAACGACTCAAACCACGAGGAGCGCTTTCTCTCCCTCCTCCTCCGCCTCGTCCTTCTCCCGCTCCCACCACAAGGAGGATGCACAAGGAGGCGGGAGGAAGTAGGAACAGGGGAGATATGCGGGGGCAGGCGGAAACACGCCTGAAAAACACGACTGTCGGCATGCTTCGCAAGAGTTGCTGTTTTGAGATGGGCTGGTGGGGATACGCGAAGCGTGAAGAATTTGTAAGAAGTTCATGGATTAAGTGCGGCTCATTTTGAAAAAATGGCTCTCGCCTTAGCGCCGCGTGTGTTCGTTTTAACATGTGCAAAATTCCGGACTATGAGGGTGCAACAGTTAGCTGATTCGCGGTGTTGAAGTCCCAAGAATAGCGTTCTGGCACGATTCATGATCGTCACGACGCAACACTCAGATTGACCCGTGGCGTTGGAATCCCGAGAACGATGTTTTGATATGCTTCAGGTTATTGAAACGGTTGTCTTCCAACGAGGCAATTCCCTGTAGAAATGAACCCTTGTAGGGGCCTAAGTATGAAAAGGGAGCTTGGAGGGAGGGTCTACTTAAACATCGTTGATGACTCTTGGGTTTACACTGGTCCTCCTCCATCTCCTCCTCCTCCTCCTCCTCCTCCTCCCCCTCCTCCCCCTCCTCCTCCTCCTCCTCCTCCTCCTCCTCCTCCTCCACCTCCTCCTCCTCCTCTTCTTCCTCCTCCTCCTCATGATTATTATTACCCTGCTCTTTGTCTTCCTTCCCCTGCTCTTTGTCTTCCTTCCCCTTCCCCTCCTCGCCCGCCACCTCCTCGCCCAGGGATGGAAGAGGGAGAGCGACGAAAAGGGGGACGGATGACGAGGAGGCGAATGTGCCTGTGATCAAGATGGATCCAAGATCGCACAAAAATGCCCCCACGGAGGCCTTTGGATAACCGAGGACGCCAAGAACATCGCCCGATATGGCTCAGCAACAAGGCCGCCGGCTGTTCGGCCCCAAGACGTACCCCAGAGTCCCCACATGGCCCTCTGAGGCCCCTGGACAGAGCGCCCCGGAGGGTGGCCCACCGAGGCCCCCAAGAGATGTGGCTCCGAGAGGCTCGTCATCCGTGGACTGGGAGGCCCCAGCTGGGAAATGCCGCCAGTCTTGACCCTGCCCACTCCCCGAGGCTCGGGAGAGGAGGAGGAGGCCTCCACGGACGTACCGAGGATCCTGATGCCCTCCTTCGCCAATCGCATGGCCAGGTTGTTCGGCGTCTGCCCACCGACAGATACCACCTCGCGCGGCGGCACAAGACCCTCTATCCTCCTCCCCCTCCTCCTCATCTCCGAAGCTCGACCCTCGATCCTCCTCGATCGATCGTGTATCCTCCATCTTCCTCCCCCTCATCGATCCTCCTCGATCCTCCTCGGTCGCTCGATCCTCCTCCCCCTCCTCCTCATCGATCGTCGATCCTCGATTTTCCTTACGCCCCCCCTCCTCCCCCCCCCGCACACGCACTCCCGCCAAGCCCCCCCCCTCCCGCCCCCCCTCCGAGCCCTCCTTCCAAGCGCATGCACCCCACGACTCCTGCTGCGCCCAGCACGCGGGAGCCGCGCACGACACGGGCGGCGCCCGCCGACCTGCGGCGGACGAGGGCGGGACGAGCAGGAAGCGGCTCTCTGCCCGCCCCCGCCGGCGGACTGGTGCCGTCGGCCCGTGGGACCGCATGGCCCCGTGCCCTTGGCCCAAATGTTCGCCTCGGACCGCTTCCTGCTGGCCGTGGGCCCGCAAACCGGCCCTCCAGGGGGCTGGGGGATGCGGGGGCAGCGGCCGGGACTGAACAGGACCAATTCCTCCAGATGCCTGGGCCGCCCTCGGCCCCTTGCCCTGGGCCCAAGGGGTTCGCCTCGGACCGCTTCCTGCTGGCCGTGGGCCTGCAAACCGACCCTCCAGGGGGGTGGGATGCGGGAGCAGCGGCCGGGGTTGATGCAGTCGGCCCGTGGACCGCATGGCCCCTTGCCCTGGGCCCAGAGGTTCGCCTCGGATCGTTTCCTGCTGGCCGTGGGCCCGCAAACCGGCCCTCCAGGTGGGTGGCATGCGGGAGCAGCGGCGGGGACTGAGCAGGACCGACTCCTCCAGGTGCCTTGGCCAGCCTCGGCGGCGCGCCCCAAGGGGGGCGGGTGCGGGAGGGGCGGCGTCACGATGGGATCGGCTCGGGAAGGAGACGCCCCAGGATTCCCCCGAGTAGCCAGCTGCCCTCGCTTCTTCAGCCCGCGTGGAGCATCGGGGGATCCAGGGGAGCATGAGAACCTTAAAAATCTTGAAACGAATGCTATCATGACCTCTGGCTCATTTGCTCCTGAGAGGGCAGAGGGGGGGTCTCCCTCACAGGGGCCCAGAGGCCTGCGAGGAAGCTCCTTGACACGGCGACTCCACTCCTAAGCCAGCCCCAACTGGGAACCCGGCGTATATATTCTAAGGTATCTGGGCCCTGTCCCGGGAGGCGTCGCAGAAACGCCACAGGACAAGGAATAGTGTATAATGTTCCGGCCCGTTCACCCGGCGACAGGCGCTAAACAAAAGGTATACACTATGTTTGGGCCGCCACGTGCCACTGAGTTGTGACAAAACATAGCACAACGTAGTGGACATGTTGCTGGCCCCAACCCCCTCTCTCACCGTTAGTCCCCGCCGAAGCGCGCAGCGCCGAGCAACGCGCCGAGCGACGCGAGACCCGCGAGACGGCGGTGGCTGCGGCCGCGCACAGGGCGCGCGTCGGCGGCTGAGCGGCGGCGGCAGCGCGCCATGCCAGCGCATCGCTCGAGGCTCGCGATGTCGAGCACGGTCTCGTGGCTGAGCTCCTTCGGGGGACGAGCCGCGGGCGGCCGCTCAAGGGGGGGAGAGAGAGAGAGAGAGAGACAGAGAGAGAGAGAGAGAAAAAGAGAGAAAGGTAGCTACTGGGGGGGGAACTCCAGGTAACGACGCCTGGGAGTGATGGAGCACGTCCGTCGAAGCGGGGGTGCGCGCCATCGCCACAGCAAGCGCGAGGGGGGGGCCCAGGCCCCCACACATGCTGCATCGATCGAAAATCCAAGGCCCCCCCCCCGGGCAGCAACAACGATCGCACGCATGTGCGTAAGAGTTCTACCGTTACCCGGAGGGGGATAGGGTTTAGCCCTGGTGACGACCGTTACGCGCCAGAGGATAAACACACACAACCTCAAGAGCGAGCGGAGCGGAGCGTTCAAGGCGTGGAGATTGGCACCAGCACCAACACGGGGAGGTGCCTCCTCGAGGGAAGATGGCCCTAGATGTTGGTGCTGGTGGTAATCTTCCGGCCACCCAGGAAAAACTAAGCACGCTGTACCCGTGGGGCCCTCTTGGGGGCCAGACGGGGGCCTACTAGGGGTTCGGGGCCGCCTTACGCGCGATGGTTCTCACGAGCTCTCCGGAACGGAATCGGCTGAACCGTGTCGGGGTTGCCTGGGCGCTTTTTGTCATGCGAACGCGGCAGCTCGAGCAAGCCTCAAGCTTCGGCTGTTCCTAATTCGCTTTTCGGTAGTGCTGAGAGGCTTCTACACCAATGAGACCAGTCACAGTAGCACCAACGGCATACCAGCCTGAAGCCTCACGGCCAAACAGTCACGAGAGCACCACTGGCATATCAATATGCATCCTAAGCCATCGAAGCATCGCGTGCTTCTTTAAGGCAAGAAGGCCTCCAGAAAACAGAACAGTCTGCATCCTAAGTCATCTCAGCGTCAGCTTATGCAAACAAAGACACGCTGCGAATGCAATGCGGATTCGGAGTCGCAGCCTAGGAGTGGTCGCCTTACGTCCGCCAACTGAAGGTCGGGCCCTGTCCAGGTGGCGGAAGAACACGTTGAGGTATTCGACGCCCTCGCTGGTGGGGCCCAAACGGGTTGGACGTCCATCGGGTTGAGTGTCAGGTTTGGCGTCGGGTTGGGCGTCGGGTTTGGCGTCGGGTTTGGTGTCAGGTAGGGCGTCGGATAAAGCGTCGGCGGGGTAGGGCGTCGGGTTGGTCGTTGGGTTGGTCGTCGGGTTGGGCGTCGGGTTGGGCGTGGGGTTGGGCGTCGGGTTGAGAGTCGGGCAGAGCGTCGGATAAAAGGTGTCGGGTAGGGCATCGGGTAGGGCGCTGGGTTGGGAAACGGATTGGGCGTCGGGACGGGAGTCGGGTTGGGCGTCGTGGACCCTGTATTTTCGCATACACAGCTGATCCAAAAATTCTATGAGGTTGGACCGCGTGGATCTGAGGAGCGGCCCAAAAACCAAAGCCCCGCCTGCGCCCTAACCTTAAGGCGCCTCTCGTTGCAGCGTCTCGGCGGAATGGAGTAGACGGCTGAGTCGCCCAAAGAATTGCGAAGCAACGTGATCAGTGGAGGTCCCGACACGGTGCAGCGACGGGCTGTGCGGCGACCTGAAGACCCCGAAAGATCTCACCGCACGGTCCGTCACCGCATGGTTTCGGGACCACTGCAGGCCCCAGCCGCTCGACACCTCCGCGGAGAACGACACGGGCCCCAAGAGCGTCCGGCCGCCCCGGACCCCCCGAGACGCACGCACGCGTGGGGCCACCGCAGCGCATGCCAGGGCAGCCGTCTTCGCGCTCCGCGCTCCGCGACGCGCCACTCTCTTCGCGCTGTCGTTCCGCCCCCCCACCCCCGTGGGACGGGGTGAGGACCCCGCGCCTCGCTCTGAGATCGCCCAGACCGCGAAGGGCGAAGCGCGACCAACTTCGCAGCCTCGTGACGGCTCCAGGCGTGGGGGGTCTCCGAACAGAACAAAGGGTTCAGACAGGGCGGCGAAGGGCAGAGAGGTCTGGTCTCAGACACGACGGCGCGACGACCCTGCGGGACTGACTGCTCAGGCCGCCACAGCGCGGCATGCCGCGCGGAGAGGACGGTCGCTTGCGCGAGAACTCACGCGGGCAGCCCTGGCGCGGAATGGACGCCGCTTGCGGCAGGTGCGAGCCGTGACGACTTGCGCGTCCGTACCCGACACCGCGCGGATCACTCAACCTCGGTTGGCGGCGCGCAGAAGGGGGTAAGGGGGAGGGGGAAGGCTTCTCAGAAGGAGGCTGCTTCTTGGAAGGCGCCGGCCCTGCATGTGAAGAGAATGCCTGCGCCTCCTAAGAAGCAGGGGTGCTTCTGAGAAGCCTTACCACCTCCCCCTGCCCCCCTCTGCTGGGCGCCCGAGTTAACCGGGGTAACTCGGGTCCGGGGTAACTCGGGTTTGGATTCCGAAAAAGGAACCCGAGTGAGCCCTGACCCGAGTTACCCCTGATGATGTGGGGCTCTGAACGCCCGAATTATCCGGGGCAACTCGGGTCCGAGGTAAGTGGGGCTCGCAATCCCGAAAAGCGAACCCGAGTTGGCCCTGACCCGAGCTACCCCGGATGATTCGGGGCTCTGACCCTCTCCGCGTGGCCTCCCTGTAAAGATCGCGGCTCTCCGATGCCGCGGCGTGGGTCGTTCGATGCCGGCCGAGTCCGGGCCGCCGCCGGCGTGCGGCCTCGAGCCCCCGCGCTTGGGGTCGCCGCGGCGGCGGCACACGCCGCGAGCCTGCCCTGCGTCGCCCGAGGTAGCATTTAGCACAGCAGCCGCGGCGGGAGCACACAGGGCCCAGCCCTGCTTCGCTCGTGCGAAAGGGGGGGGAAAGGCGACGGAGGAGAAGGGCGACGACGAGGTGGAAGAAGAGTTGGAGAGAAAAGAGAGATCTCATCCACGTGCTCCACCTCCTCTCCCTCTTCGCTCCCACTCCTGTCCTCCTCCTCCCCCTCCTCCCACACGTCCTACTTCTCCTCCTCTCGATGCTATCCCGAAACACCGTCCCCCTCCTCCTCCTCTCCTTCATCATCTATCAACGTTTCCTCCTCTCGAGTTTCGCTTGTTGTAATCATTCCACCTTCGACTCTTCATCCCTCGCCTCCCCCTCCTCCCCTCTCCTCATCCTTCTCCTCATTCTCCGCGTCCAAATGCACGTTACAATCCCGCATTCCCATACTCGGTCGTTGGGGCAAGGGCAGGTACCGTGTACCCATAGGCGAGCCCGCGGGAGACAAGACGTGACTCGGGACCCCGATGTATCGAATCTGAACCCCTTCTTCAAACTAGCGGCTGCGCGATTCGAGCACGTCTGGGCCCGCATCCTGAGAGCGCCCTGCCTTTCCTCTGGTTGCACCAACATTTCAGAGCAAGACAATGTTTGACAAGCCCCAAAGCGGGAGTCCTCGAAGTACAGCCGGTCCGACTCGTCGAAGTCGGTGGACACCTCCGTGGCATCGCGCTCAGTGCGCTGCGAGGAAGGAGAGAAGACTTTCGGCTTCAGTTCTGGCTGCAGCCCATGAGGGCACAGGTCGCGTCGACTCTGGCTCGAACGGCCTGCGTAAATATGATGCCAGTCAATACCGAGGGCAATCCGTGGGACGCGGCGACCAAGTCGGGGGGGCTGAGCTTACGCAACCGCAAAATCCTCGCCAAGGCAACGTAAAGCATACCAAGACACTCTTTGCAGCAGCACCTGGAGTCTTCCAGAAGGCCAGAGGGCCCTGCGCCTCATCAGGCCTGCGGATGCACGCACACACACACACACACACACACACACACACATGCAGCCTCCTGGAGCCTCTGGACGAAGCTGCCAAGTGTTGCAGCCTCATCGGCGGCTCTTGAAGGGTCGCCACACAGGAGAGAGCGACTTCTGTGCACGCCTCCCCGGTGTAAAATCCTCCCCACCCTCACCTATGGATGCTGGGCAACGTTAGTGGGGGATAGGCTCAGGAGGGATGCATCGACCCCCCATCGCCCATTGATCGCCGATAGGGGCCTGATAGCCCACCCCGGCCAGGACCGTGCGGACTCGCCATCGGGAGGATTTCGCCAATCTGTCGGCGATGCGTCACCGATGCCAGGTCGATGCGGCCCCTGAGCTGGTTCCCCCCTAACGCTGCCCCTGACGGGAACCAGGACCCCCCCCCCACACCCCCCAAAATCTGCACCCCCCCGCTCCTGTCCAGAGCCGGGATAGGCCCCCCCCCCGCATCCTGCCCCCCCCCTCCCCCTCGTGCTGGCCCGCCGCGCGCGGCGCCGTCTCGGGGTTGCAGTTGATGATGATGGCCTGGTGCCCCAGCGACCGCAGCGTCTTCACGCACGACACGCAGCACCAGTCGAACTCCACGCTGCTGCCGATGCGGTACGGCCCGCAGCCCAGGACCACGACGCCGCCCCCGGCGGGGCTGCCGCTCGGCTCGGGTCTCCGCGCCTGGGTGGGGGCGAGAGGGATGCCACGATACAGTCGAGGCGTTGACCTAAGGAACCTAAGGAACCCTTAATGAGGAGCGAGGCCCCTTTGTTCCATAAGTCTAACTTCGATTCCCCATGGGAAACTGAAGGAACATCTCAGGCAAGCTGCGAAACCAATGAGGAATACCGAGCCCCTCCCCAACGAGAAGGGTTCCTTCTTCAGCGCCCCGATTGTAGGATTGGCCGAGGATGCGCTCCAGGATTCCCGGGACATCCAGCGGCCGCCGTTGCTGGAGCACACGCGCCACAGTCAGAGCCCTCGGACATCTCTGGGAGACTCTGATCCCGAGACCCTGCTCGTCTGATTGGGGGGGACAACCAGAACATGACCCCGCGGAGGCCCGCGCAGCCTTCTTGGATAGGTGCTGGACCCCTCCCTGCCCTGGCGCGCTCAGGGGGAGCGAGCTGCGCCCCTGGCGCGCTCAGCCCCCCTCCCTGACGCGAGAAGTGCACCAAGGGGCGCCAGAGGCGCCGTAGGGTCCAGCGCCGATCCATGTTCACGTTTACAGTCGAAGCGAATAGTAAGGATGCACGATAAGGATGCAAGCCCTCAGGACGCCCACTTCGAAGCGGGGCTGGGCATCGAAAGTGGTTGAGATTGGACCGAAGAGGCAAGAATGCAAGCGTACCCTTGGGAAGACTATCCATCCTTACCCTCGGACTGCACGTCGTTCCGAGCTTCTTCGGGCGCCTCCTTGCGGGACTCGGGGTTGAATTTCAGCGAGCTGCCGAGCGTCAGCGGCTCGGGGATCACGGAGGTGCTGGGGGATCGAGCGCCCCGGTGCTCCTCTGGCGGCACGCGAAGGGGGGGAGGCGCGCGCAAGGGCGGACGGCCGTGTGAGAAGGCAGGGGGGCTTGATGGGAGCACCGGTCGGTCGGAAAAAGTGGGTAGAAGCATGAAGCAGAAGGCCTTGGAAGCAGATTGGGCTGCCGCCCGCCACCTCGAGGTGAAGGAGGGCAGACCCCGCGATCAGTGAAGTAGGGAGGCGCGTAAAATAGATTTGGGATCTGGGCACCCAGAAAGACCCACTTCCAACGACTGAGTGCAGTGTCACGCAGCCGCGTCTCTGTCGTGGCGGTATTGTGACCGACGGGTGGGCCCGAAGATCTGCCCTGGAGTGACCAAAACCCGGCGCCCGGAGTTCTCCGAACGCACCAGTGCGTGAGCGAAACTCGCGGTTCGAAGCAAACGTTTTCTCCGATGTCGGTCATTTCGCTCACGCCACGTGTTCGGTCACAGTTGCGGACACGCCTTTGGTCACCGACGTTTTGTGTCACACAGCTTCTCGGCTCACGGGGGGCGAGCGCCATGAGTAATGTCACTCCAGGCATGAAGGAGCCCTGGATCACACACATAAAAAGTTTCCCCATAGTTTCCCATATGTTCTGGGTGTTTGTCTCCCCCCCACTGCCCATGTTTTCCCCTATTTTCTGGGGAATCGACGATGAATTGTGTCTGTGCGTTGTTTCTCCTCCTGAAGGCATCCGATGTGTGCAACCTGTCGGGCTGAGGGAAGCCTACGACCGCCAGAGCCACGCCTCTCGACACCGCGCGAATCACAGCAGGTGGCGAAAACTGAACCGCCGCAGCTCCATAGCCGTCGTCGCAGCCGCGGGATAATAATGATAAGAATAATAATAATAAGAAGAAGAATATGAAGAATAACATTAGTAATAATAATAATAATAATAATCATAATAATAATAATAATCATATTATGGAAATACATCATATTATGTCGCCGCCCGGAGCGCTGTTCCCTCCAATGAGAGCCGGGGGGGTCCCCACCTGTGACCGAGGAACAGGGGACCAGCTCGTGGATACACGATAGGGGGGCGTCCATCCTCGAACGGGGTGCGTCCGAACAGCCCCCTTGAGGTGTAGGTCCGAGCATCCGTCTCGTCTACGCGGCCTCAGCAGTAGAAGGGGCAAGTCGGAGCTTGGCTCGGGGGGTACTGAGATGGCCTCTTGAAGAAGGCCTCTGCCTGCGGTAGGCTCGCGTCGTGTCGACCCCGGGGTTGGCTTCTGACAAAGCGGAGATCCTTCAACCTTGAACGGTCGGCTGTTTCCGAAATGTCAGATCCTTCAACATCGACCGATTCTGACGGCGGCGTTCAACGTTGAACGCTGACGGCAGGGCCGTCGCCGGTCAACACAACGCGAACCTACCGTCGAAGTCCACCCCCCTCGCCCCGTAAGACCTAGGGTAACTGTCTTCGCGCTCCGCGATCCGCGAAGCACGAAGCACGATCATCTTCGCGCTTCCGCGCCGCCGCCCACCCCCCCACGGAACAGGGTGAGGGACTCGCGCCTCGCCTTGACATCGCCCGGACCGCGAAGCGCGGCGGACGTGGCACCCTTGAAGGGGCCCTGAGACACACAAATAAATACACACACATAAAAGGATTTCCCACATTTTCCTATATTTTCTGGGTTTTCGTCTTCCCCCCCACTTCCCATATTTTCCCATGTTTTCCTGGGGATCGACGATTAATTGGTGCCTGTGTGTTTTTTCCCTCCTGAAGGAGATCTGGAACATCTGAGAGCTGGCGGGTCTGGGGGATGCATCGGGCGCCGCGGCCAGTGCGGGAGCACTCCGAAGCGCCGAAGCTGCGCTCTCCGCGCCCTCGGCCTGCTCCTCGCCCTCGTCTTCGGCCTGCTCCTCGTCCTCGTCCCCAGCCTGCTTGGCCTCCCCTCGTCCCTGGCCTGCTCCTCGTCATCGTCCTCGTCCTCTGAAGCGAGCTCTCTGCGTCCTTGGCCTGCTTGACGGAGGGAAAAGGACGGGGGGTGGAGCTGGCTCGGGGAGGACTCGGCGGTGCATCGCCGAGAGGCCCCCGATGGCGAAACCCAACGCTCCTGGGCGGGCAAGGTGGCCATCCAGCCCCCGTCGGCAAGGACCAGGCGATCGGGGGTCGATGCAGTTCCTCCTGAGCCTACCGGGCAGTTTCTAATACATTGGATCTTTTAAAAAATATGGAATTTTCAATACATGGCAAATGTATGAATAGATTTACGCATGAGCTCATCGTTGTTGTTCGTACTAAAATCCCTGCATTTGTATTACATGATCCGCACGCGGAGCATGTATAAGAAACGGCACTGTAGGCGATCGGGGGTCGATGCAGTCCCTCCTGAGCCTATCCCCCCCCTGTCGTTGACCCTGGCTTTCGGTTCATATCTCGGCTGCCCAGCGGCCGCTCGGGACGATTCGGGCATCCCCAGAACGCCCTCGGCGAGGCGCGGCTGCTGGAGAGCATCCCAAAGCTGGAAAAGAAAGGGCGGAGAACCAACAAAATCATTCGAAAACCTCCAGAACCTCAAACCTCGAAACTGTCCCCCCCATCGTCGGTGCCCCTGACCGACTCCGCCCCCCTCTTTGCGCCGCCCAGCTCCGGCGACGCGACGTTGGAGGACCCGCCAGTCCGCTGGCGGCGGAAGACCTGGTCGTCGCCCTGGCCGGCGAGGCTCACGTCGTGCTCCAGGCCGCTGTAGGTGAGGTACAGGTAATTCGTCTGGGCGGGGAACTCCGCCGCGAGCGTGTCGATCTGCTTCACATACGGGACCACCTGGGCGGGCAAAGGCAGCTGAGCGAGGGCATGCAACTCCGAAGGGATCTGCGCGGACTTCCCGGAGCGGCGCTGGGCCCCCTCGGCGGCTCCCCTGGCGCACTGGCGCGCTTCGCGCGCCAGGGAGGGGGTCCAGCGCCGATCCGAGAACTCCGCGCGGACCTCCGACAGCTCATGCTCATGTTGTTCGCTGTGCCCATCCCACCCCCATGCTGCGCCGCAAGTTTCTCACGTGGGTGTCCCTCACAATCCCGCCGGTGTACTCGAGCTCGCGCACCTCCGCGTCGCGCGTCCTCAGGGCCGCTGCGATCTGGCGGTCGGCAAAGCCGCAGCGCTTGGCCTCCAGGACCAGCGGCTGATTGCTCGAGAGGCCAACGATGTCCAGAGACAGGAGCGCCTGCTTCACGACGTGGATGTGGTACAGCTTCGACAGGAACCAGCGGTCGATGCAGCTGAGGCCGTGCACGTCCTCCACCCCGAGGCCCAGCTCGAAGGCCTTGGCGATCGCCCACATGCGAGCGGGCGTCGGATTCATAAGCTCGGCCCTGACAAAGTGCAAAGCTTCATCACTCTGGCCACGGTGCCCGAGCTCCATGTCAAAGCGGTCCGAGTCGAAGCCCTTACAGGACTCCTCGACCATGCGCAGGGCCTTCTGGATCGTCTCCTCGAACGTGCGGCCAATGGCCATCACCTCCCCGACGCTCTTCATGCAGGAGCCCACCTCCTGGTCCACGGTGGAGAACTTCCTCAGGTCCCAGCGGGGCACCTTGGCCACGACGTAGTCCAAGCTCGGCTCGAAGCAAGCGGTGGTGCAAAGCGTGACGCTGTTGCGCAGCTTGACCAGGTCGCTCCCGAGGGCCAACTTGGCAGCGACGTAAGCCAGCGGGTATCCTGTCGCCTTCGAGGCGAGGGCGCTGCTGCGCGAGAGCCGCGCGTTCACCTCGATGATGCGGAACTCCTCAGACTTGGGGTCGACCGCGTACTGGATGTTACACTCGCCCACCACGCCGAGGTGGCGCACCACCTTGAGCGCGCACTCGCGCAGCCGGAAGTATTCCGCGTTGGTGAGAGTCTGAGACGGGGCGATCACGATGGAATCGCCGGTGTGAATGCCCATGGGGTCGAAATTCTCCATGTTGCACACCGTGATGCAGTTGTTGTTCGCGTCCCTCACCACCTCGTACTCGAGCTCCTTCCAGCCCTTCAGACTCTTGTCCACGATCACCTGCGGGCTGTTCACTAGCGCTATCTGCACCAGCCGTCGTAGCTCCGCCTCGTCGGACGCGAACCCGCTGCCCAACCCGCCCAGTGCGAAGGCGGCACGGACGAGCACCGGGTAGCCGATCTGCGTCGCCGCGTTCGCCGCCTCCTCGATGGAGATGCAGCAGGCGCTCTCAGCCACCTTGTAGCCACAGTGCGCCACCGCTTTCGCGAACAGCTCCCGGTCCTCCGTCGTGACCACGGCGTCGATCGGAGTGCCGAGCACCTGCACGCCGTACTCCTTGAGGACTCCTTGGTCCCTGAGCTGTATGCCGCAGTTGAGGGCCGTCTGGCCACCGAAGGAGCAGAGGATGCCGTCGGGACGCTCGCGCTTGATGACCTGGGTCACGAACTCCACGTTCACGGGGAGGAAGTAGACGCGGTCGGCGTAGCCCCAGGAGGTCTGGATGGTGGCGATGTTCGGGTTGATCACGATCGAATAGACGCCGCTCTCCCGCAGCGCCTTGATAGCTTGGCTGCCAGAGTAATCGAACTCCCCAGCCTGGCCGATGGTGATCCCGCCGCAGCCCAGCACGAGAACCTTGCGATGAGTGATGGGCAGGGTGTACGGGATGGTGGTCACCGACTGCATGGACGGGTCCGAAATGTACCGGATGAAGTCCCTGAACAGGAATGCGGTGTCAGTCGGGCCCCCGCACGCCTCCGGGTGGAACTGTACCGAAAACCATGGGCGAAGGGCGTGGATGATGCCCTCGTTCGTGCCGTCGTTTGCGTTGATCATCAGCGGCATCCAGCCCTGCGGCAGCGACTCGTTGTCGATGGCGAACCCGTGGTTCTGAGGGGTGAGGTGCCGGGTCGGACGGAAAGGGGGGAATGCCAAAGCGGGGGTCAGCAAAGCAACAAGCGTGGCTGATTATCCCCCGCGCCTTCTGGCGCCGGAGGCGTCCGCGCATCGAGGAAAGCGCCCAGCGGCGAAACCGATACCAGCTGCGCGCGACCGATTTCGCACCCCCCCTCCCAATATCCCCCCGTCTCGCCCGACCCGAATGTAGCACCGCGTGGTGCGCATGTCCACGCAGGGCTGGTTCATTCCGCGGTTCCCGAACTTCATCTTGAAGGTGGTGGCGCCCGCGGCGAGGCCCAGGATCTGGTTGCCGAGGCAAATCCCGAAAATGGGACAATTGGGCCGGCTCGCCATCACCTGAGTGCCCAAAGATGACGCAGCAAAACGACGATGGTGATGTAGATCAGAATGATGATGCTGGTGATGGCGATAACGATAAGAATAAAGATAATGATGATGATGATGATGATGATGCGAATAATAATGATGATAATAATAATGATGATGAAGATGATATTAAAGATGGTAATAATAGTGATGATGGCGGCAACGATGGTGACAATGGTAACGGTGAAAATGACGGTGCTCATGATGGTTCATGGCGGTGGTGAGGATGAGGATGTCGAGGGCGCTCAAGAATAAACATATGGATTATTCTTCACGACTTAGAGACTATACACAGCGCGCAAGCAAAAACAACGTCACCCCTCGAGATACGGCAACTAACAGTTTGAACCGAACGTGGGTTGGAGCCAACAAAACCGTGACCACAGAGAGGTGCCACGTTTGTTCAAGAGAGGACAGAGACACCGTTTCGCTTTCGCTGCCCTTACGCAGAAGATTCACGTTGTAATCCTTATGCAGGAGGGCTTTCAAGATGCGGCATGCGTTCTTCGAAAGCCCCCCCCCCCGACCTGCAACCCCCTCCTCGCCGCCATGGCTCGCGCGCGGTTGGGTAGACGGGCAAGAAAAAATGCAGCAGCCAAACACCTCATCGCTAGAACTGCTGCTGCGTAGAAAGTCCGAATGTCCAGGATACCAATGTTGAGGACAAGACCCAGAGGTGATCTTTACTCTTCAATGTTCGGGTTGCATGTCTTCGGTTCGTGGGAAAACTTCAAGTGCAGGTCGACGGCCTCGCTCGTGTTGAACAGTTGGCTGTTGACCAGAAGCTTGAACTTCCCGCCCACTTTGATGCCGACGTTTGCGATGGTATCGTCGCCAGACTGTGCGGCGCCGCTGATTTCCATATTCGCATCACCGCTGCTCATGTTCCAATACGCCCCTGGAGGACGGTCCAATTGCACTTAATGCGCCACGGTGTTGAAGGCAACTGCTTGAGCCAAATGCCTCCTTGAGCCGAACCGGCTACGGAATAAGACTGAATGCTGTGGTGACTGATGATGACTATGATGATGGTCATGATGACTATGATGATGATGCTGATGATGATGATTGTGGTGATGATGATGATCATGATGATGATGATGATGATGATGATGATGATGATGATGATGATGATGATGATGGTCAGGGCATTGGTGCGCCAGAAAGTCTGCAGATTGCCAGCGAACCGACGCACTGCCGCAGCCGAGTGGAACTGCGCTGCCGAGAATGCAAGCAAGCTCGGCGAGACCACGCCAGCCAGCACAACTGCCGCCAAAACCCACAACACACGCCGATGCGATCCCGGCCAGCAGTGGCGAGGACAAGGCCACCAGGGGCTCACAGCGCACGCGGGAAAAGCGGGCGTCCAGGCAGAAAGCTGCCCCAGCAGGAGACGACGTCCACCCTGCGCACGAAAAAGCAACACACACGACGAGCGCACGGCCGAAAAGCAGCCCTGTCGCCTCAACTGGCCAAGGAGCGCCGCAGTCACTCCGACTCAACCGGCCAGAAAGCGGCCTCACGCTGCGCCCCTGGATGCACCTGCCGCAGAGCACCGGCCGCAAGACGCCGCCCTGTCCACCTCGGTGTGCGGAATGAGTCCGGTGAACTCGCTCGCGGCCGACTCCCACGCCGCCGCCAAGTCGATAAAGTCGAAAGGTTGGGCCTTCTCCACATCGAGCCCGAAGACGAAGAGATCGGGAAGCGCCGGGTCGTTGGCTGCGAAGTCCAGCCCGTGACCGAAGACCGAGGACGACCACTCGGTGGCAGCCGATCCGTGCTCGTCGGGGTCAAGAGCACGACTTGCCCCATCGGCCAAGTGTCCACCACCACTGCCACAGGTAGGACGGGGGGAGTGGGGAGGTCCTGCTCCTGCTCCTCCTCCTCCTCCTCCTCCTCCTCCTCCTCCTCCTCCTACTCCTACACCTACTTGACCAGGGCGAGCCGCTCCGGCATGCACGGTGCCTCCACGGAGCTGCCGATGCAAGGGAAGGAGCTGCTCGGAGCGGAGAGCAGCCGAAGGCCGACGGCCGCCACCTGCAGCACGAGCGGCAGCCCCACGATTAGGTACAGGGCAGTGTTTTGTTTTTTCTTAATAAAAAAAAAAATGTGATGTTGAAAATTTTAAGATTTGTACTACATGATCAATGTATGAATCAATGTGTGCATGAACTCATCGCTGTTTTTCATACCAAATCCCTGCACTTGCAATACATGATCCGCACGCGGAGCATGCATGAAAAACGGCACTGTAGGTGCACGAAGGCACCGTCGCCGACGTGCACGTGCGGCTGGACGTGGGCCCCCGCGCCTCAGCACTCGCCGGGAGCCATGGCGCCGCCAACGCGAAGTCAGCCCCGAGCTTCACGACTATCACTCCGATGGCCTTCGACCCCTGCACTGGTCGAGACCCCGCGGCTTGGAAGACGCGCCCACGAGGCCCAGGGAACGGTCGCGGGAGAGGAGGGATCCCCGCGAGGAGCAGCGCGTCTCACGGCCTCGACAATAGCAAGGGCGCCGCGACACGGCATCCCGCCCGAGCTTCACGATGATCTGCATGGTGATCTTCATGATGACCGTCGACCTCCTGTGCTCGTGGAAACTCCGCGGCATGGGAAAATCGCCCGCGAGGCCCAGGAAGAGGCCGCGGGAGACGATGTCCCCCTTTATGAGCTGGAGCTGCATCGCGACGAGGGGGTTCCGCGGGCTCTCCTTGCACCGCGGCCTCGGCGAGGTCGTTGGCAGCAGCCGCGGACGGCTGCCCACGAGCAGCTCGACGACGGCGAAGGATCTGGACGGCCGCCTCCACGGAATCGTCGTTGCCCACGCCGTCGTGGCGGTCGGCAAAGCCGGCGTCGGGACCACAGGCCGACGGCTCCTCGACGACGGTGGGCGGCCGCGCGTGCCCCTCACGCAGGTCGCCGTCGACGAGGCGAGGCTCGCCGCCGAAACCGCCGCTCGGGCCGCCCCCGACGTCGTCGCCGCAGCCCTCGGCAGGGCGCCGGCAGCCAGGCGCCAGCTGCGGCCCCCGAGGCCATCAGGCAACCTCGCACATCGCCAAGCAGCCAGCACCCACGAGCCCTGGAGCCCTGGCCACGCCCAGGGGGCCAGGAGCGCCGCACCAGCGGCGCCGCCAACGAGGGCGCTGGGCGAGAAGGGCGGGGCGCCGGCGTCCAGGTGCGCGGCGCCGGCTCCCGCTGGCCTCTCGAAGGCCTGCACCGCGGGCATCAGCAGCGCCGCCACCGCCCGCGGTGCCGCTTTGGGCCTTGCGGACCGCCGTGTGGGCGCGGCGGCGGCGGCTAGCCGAGGTCGCACACGCGGGGCGACACAGCGGCTTCATAACGCTGAGGATGCAGTACCCGTAGCCGAGCGCGGAGCCAAGGACGCCACCCCAGCGGGGCCGTCGGGATGCGCGAGGGCGCATGCGCAAACAGGGCAGACTGGGGGCGCACGCGGCCGAGACATTCGCGCAGAACGGTTATTCGCGCCAAGTCATGTCTTAGCTCAAGTAGCCATCGATGATGATGATGATGATGATGATGATGATGATGATGATGATGACGATGACGATGACGATGACGATGATGATGATGATGATGATGATGATGATGCTGATGCTGATGCTGATGCTGATGCTGATGCTGATGCTGATGCTGATGATGGTGGTGGTGATGATAAGTATGATGATGTTGATGATGATAAAAATGAAGATGAAGCTGAGGATGAAGATTCAGATGGAGATGGAGATGAATATGATGATGAGTATGATGATGGTGAGGAGTATGATGATGATGAAGAAAATGATGAGTACTATTTGTATATCATAGTAGTGTTGTATATAACGGTAATGATGAGTATGCTGGTGATGATGATGACGGTGGGCGTCTTGGTGATGAAGATGGTAAGTACTAGTAAGAATGATAATGTTCATGCTGAACATGATAATGATGATGATGATGCTGATGATGATGATGATGGCGATGACGATGACGATGCTGAACCTGATAAGTGCTAGTAATGACGATACTCATGAAAAAGAAGTTCTCATAATAAGCATAAAGATAGCATGGATATTAATGGTGCTGATGACGATGACGATGATGATGATGGGACGACGAGTATGGGAGTGTGGTGATGGTGATGGTGAAGATGATGGTGATGGTGATGATGTTGATGATGATGATGACGACGACAGTGAAGACAATGATGATGATAGTGGTGGTGATGATGCTGCAGATGATGGTGATGATGATACTGATAAAGAATGATGGTGATGATGATGACAACGATGACGGTGACTCTGGTGATAATGATGATGATGGTGTTTGTGATGGTGTCGATGCTGATGATAATGATGAAGATGACGATGACGATGATGATGATGATGATGATAGTGGTGGTGGTGATGGTGATGATGATGATAATGATGATGGTGAAGGTGATGGTGATGATGGTGGTGATGGTGGTGGTGATGATTATACTGATGATAATGATTATAAGTATGATGGCAATGGTGATGATGGTAGTGACGATAATGGTGATGATGATGATGATGATGATAGTGATGGTGATGGCGATGGAGACGTCTACGACGACGACGATGATTACAAGGATGATGATAATGACGATGCTGATGATGACGATGCTGATGCTGATGATGATGACTATGATGATAATGATGCGTGTGATGATGACGATGATGATATGATGATGACAATGGTGATGATGGTGGTGATGATGATAATGGTGGTGGTAGTGACGATGATGATGATGATGATGATGATGATGATGATGATGATGATGATGATGATGATTCTGATGACGAAGACGACGGCGACCCAATGATGCGATCGCCTCAGGACGCATCCCAGGAGTTTCAAGGAACCTCTGGCGGCCCTCGCCTCTGGAGCCCGCGCGGTGAAGCTAAGGAAACAAGGGGATACCGATGCCGCCACTCCGCAGAAGTCTCCCGGAGAGCTCTCCGATCAGAATTGTGGGGCGACTCCAGACCTGGAGACGGACGGACGGGCAACAGGATGGGTGACCCTGTGCACTGCGAAACCCCTTGCTCCCCCGAACATCAGGATCCTGCGCGCCGAGGGTGCGGCGACCGCGCGCGATGGCTTTCGTGCGGGCCGCTCACGCGCGCACGCCGCGAGGAGACGTGCACGCGCGAGCTCACGCGGGCAGACTCTGCGCCTGCTCGGCCCTGCTCTCCCCTTCACATCGCGCACCTGCCGCACGTGACCCACCGTCTTCTCGCACATCGTGGGGTCGCCCGGCCCGTTGCTGAGGAAAAGCCCGTCGAAGTCGTCGTTCGTGAAGTCGTAGTCCCACGGCACCACCGTGAGGTGGACCCGAAGCTCGATGGCCAGGTATCTGATGATGTTGTTCTTCATCCCGCAGTCCACTGCCACTATCTTGGGCATCGGCTTGGCGGGCTGCCCAACTGCCTCCACAGGCGCTGATTAGGTGAGGTTGGGGAGAAGGATGAGGAGTGGGAGAACGGACGTGATATGGAAGGAGAAGGGGAGAGGGCGGCGGTAGGAGGGGGAGAAGGCGAAGATAGCAGCAAAGGAAAGAAAAAGGCAGAGACGGAGGGAGAAGGAGAGGGCTGGAGAAAGAGAGAGAGAGAGAGACGTAAGCAGGAGGAGACGGAGGACGCGTGAAAATGCAGGTGAGGATGAGGATTGAAGCTCGCAGGTGCGATAGCTGTAAACGCAGCATGTCCTACTGACGCCGAAACAAGCCGCGGCCTGGCCCTGCTGACGGCTAGCGCAAGGACCTGCCGCCCACGTGACAAGCATCACCGCGTCATGGAAAGAAAGACCTAATTATCTAATAATCACCCCAACTCACCCACTGGCCAAACCCTGGCCAGCACTCCGGCCAACCCTCCGACCAACTTGGCGACGCGAACAAGGGGGCAGGGGAAGGGGGGGAGGCTTCTTCGAAGGAAGCTGTTTCTGCTAAGGCGCTGGCCTTACATCTATAGATAAGGCCATCGCCTTCTGAGAAGCAGGGTGCTTCTAAGAAGCAGGTTGTCTCAAGCAGGGTGCTTCTCTGAGGATGGGTCGGTGGGGAAGGATACAAGGGCAACATTGGGAAGCCGCTCATCATTACTATGCGGGTTGACTGCAACCCCCTCTGCGCTTGGCTGACATAGTCCCCAATGCCACGCTAACGGCGATGTTGGTGAACGATGATGTTGGGAATATTGCTTTGCCGACGCCGAACTCGCGCAACACAAATTGCAGGATATCACGGACCGCACTTTCCTACATTCCAAGTGCGCGAATGCATCGAGTAAAGACGGCACGGCGAATTGTAGGAAAACGCGGACCACACGTTCCTAAAATTCGCTTGGCCTCGAACCCAACCCACCCTCCAATACCGAAAACTCCATCGCCGTGGCCGACAATCGCAGTCCGCGTATCTACGGGCTCCTCCGACCAACCCTTGGCTTGGGTAACTCGGGTCGGGCGAAAGGGGGAGATAGCAAAGGGGGGGGGGTGAGAATCCGCTCACGTAGCTGATTTTCCCGGCGCCTCCCGGCGCCGGAAGCAGCCATGTATCGAGGAATGGGCCCCGATCGGTGAGGCCGAAACCAGCTGCGTGCAGCAAATTTCGTACCCCCCCCTTTCCCTTTCGCATATGGGCGATAGCGCAGCCGGGCACCGTGCGCCCCGACAGGCCGGGGCTCACGGCCGAGGCCCGCGCCCCCGCCGGGGCGCGCCCGGGGACCCGCCGAGAAGCAGAGGCAGCAGCAGAGGCCGCGGGGTGCGCAGGCAGGGTCCAAGGGGGACAAAACAAAGAAACGTGCACTGAGCCCAAGGATTCCTGGTGTGCTTGCGCGTCTTCGGGATGTTCGTCTTCCCCACCACTTCCCAGATGTTCGTGGGAAGCGGCGATTGCTCGCGTCTGTGGCTGCCTTTCCCTCCTGGAGGGGGCGCGTGCGAGCGTCAAAACCGGCTGGGGCAGGCTGGCCCGAAAAGGCGACTCGAAGTGCACCGCCCGCGGAAGGCGCCGCCAGAGCTGATGCGCACAGGAGAGGACAGGGCACTCCCTGCAGGCTGGGTTATCCGCATCTGTTTTTGTCAGCGCCATTTTGAAGAAGGGAAAGGAGAGGAGACGAGAGGGAGACAGCGCCCACACCGAACCGCTGCCCACGTGCCACGGGACTGGCCCAGCCCTGCATCCTGTCCGCGTGGATGCCCCGAACCTCGGAGGCAGCGCATCGCGGAGCGGCGTGGGCAGGAGGGCGCGCACGGCCACTGCACCCCCAGGCAGGCAGAGGGTCCGCACGCGGAGGTGGACAGCACAGCGACGGTGCCCCCCTCTCTCGAGGATGGACAGACCTCCCTGTAGTAAAACGTGGTTTAGTGAAAACGACCTGAGGCCCAGGCCTGGAAAATCACGGCCGCGGCGCCCTCTCGAGAACCGAAAACGGACAATTCACGAATCGACGTGTCACTGTTGGGGGTTCTGTCCACCCCCGACTCCCCCTCCCCCTCGAGGAAGCACCGCGGAGCAGTTGCCCGCGGACGCCGACGAGCCGGCGGGGCGGGTGGAGGTCCACGGGGCGCGCCAGGACGCGCCGTGGCGCCGCGGCCCCCGCGGCGGCCGGCTCGCAGAGGCCCAGCGGAGGCAGCGGCGGCCCAGGGCCGCTCAGACTCTGCCGCCGGACCCCATGCGGGGATCCGTCCTGACGCGCTGTCGAGGCGTGGCGCCGAGAGGCCTCCAGGGGGCCCAAGAGGCCTATGAGACGTTAGATTCAGGCGAGGTTGCTTGCATGGCGTCTCCACCCCCCCCCCGCCCCTCTTCTGGCAACGCTGAGCCGAGAAAGCGCGCAAGTGTCCCGACGTGCGTGAAGTCCAGATTTCCTCCCCAGACCCCCAGCGTCGTGATTTTTCGCAGCGTCGACCCCCAGAGGCATGGACCCCGTCCCTGGGACCGGTTCTTCATCACGAGTCGTTGTTTGACTAGGGGAACAAAAAGTGGCATAAACCTAAAAACTCGGAGGTCCGCGCGGATTTCTCGCATCGGCGCTGGACCCCCCTCCCTGGCGCGCGGAGCGCGCCAGGGGCGGCGCCGGAGGCGCCGCCAGGGGGCCCCAGCCGCCGATCCAAGACATCCGCGCGGACCTCCGAGTTGTTATGTTCATGTCACTGTCTGTTTCCCTAGTCAAACAACAAGAATCCGCACTGCGGAGTCCCACTTCAGCCACGCACCCAGGGAGAGTGAATGACCGTTCGGCCCCCTCAGTCTGATGTTTATGTCACTTGTTGCTTCCCTATTGGCGCTCCCGAGGCCCGCCGAGGGCCCCCACAGGCTGAAAATAATAGCGCGCACCCCCCCGCCGCGACGTCTCACGACGCGCGGGGGGTCTGGGTCTCGGGCCTGGCCACGCCGCCGCGCAAGGAGCCTCGCCAGGGCGCCCAGGGAGGACCCCAACGGCACGCCAGAGGGAGGGCCGCCGCCGGCGGCCACGACGGGGCTCGGGGGGCCTCAGAGCCGCGCGGCGATGGGCCGCGCGGCGACCACGAAGTCCCGAGATCGGCTGCGAGCGAGGGGGGGACGGGAGGGGGAGAAGACCCTCTCGGAAGGAGGCGGGGCTTCCCAGAGGCCCTCTGGCCCTCTGGGAAGTCTGCTGCGTCTTTGGGGAAGGCCTGGAAACCTTCTCGGAAGGCCGGAGGACTTCCGAGCCTTCTGAGAAGGCCTGTTCCTTCTCACTTCCCCCCACGGGCGCGCCGCCGACAAGAGACCTCACCGCGCGGTCCGCCACCGACCGCTCCTGGGACCTCGGAGACCCAAGACGCCCGAGACGTTCGTTCTCCGAGGAAGACCCGGGTCCCAGAACCGTGCGGTGACCCCGAGCTCACACTGAGTCAACCACGGGGTGTGGTCACCACACCGTCGGTGGAGAGCGATAGATAAAAAGACTTAGGGAGACACAAACAAGTAGGCGCAAACAACTAAATCACCCACATGTTCTCGATGTTGGATTCCCCTCACCTCCCCGCATTTTCCCATGATTTCCCCGCAATGGACGTTCACTTGTGTCCATGATTTGACCTCCTGAACGGACCCCCGGTCGCGATGCCGCACGATCCTGACGGTGGCCGCTCTCCAGAATGGCTGGCGGGGTCGACCCAGGCATCAGCTGTGCCCGAGCGACTACATGAGCGACTACACGACGGCCGCGCGAGCCCGAGCGACTGCCCGAGCGACTACACGACTACACGAGCGACTAAACGAGCGACTACACGAGCGGCAACAGCTGTGCCCGAGCGACTACACGACGGCCGCGCCCACGCCCGTGAACGCAACCGCCCTGGGACGCGCGCGCGGGCGAACCAATACACTGGGCCAGAAGGAAAGGGGGAATATGTAGAGAAAGAGAACACGGCAAATACAGTCGGACCTAGGACAGAAGAGCACCCCTCAAGAACATGAGACCCTCCGTCGGCCAAGACAAGCAGAACATTCAAGGGTACCCTCCCAAGGGAACACAATCACGTCAAACAAATACAAGAAACACTAGGGCACTCTCCCCGAATCGACCTCGATCTCATACCTCGGTTCGACTCTGCACATCGAATTTCGGAACTCCGCGCGGATTTCCTGGATCGGCGCTAGCTCTCCTGGCGGCTCCGCGCGGAGCTCGGAAAGTTAGTGTGCATACAACTTGTTCTTACTCGGGGACAGAACAGGGGGAACACCGAAGCAGCTCACGCAGCTGGTGTCTAAGGCGCCTCCTGGCGCTGGGAGGCCCCCGTGTATCGAGGTAAGCGCCCCGCGGCGGTGCCGAATCCAACTTCGTGCAGCAGAATTCGATCCCCCCCTCCTCTTTCCTGTCCCCCCCCCCCTGCGTCCGACCCGACGTCAGCAGACCGGCCACCCAGTCGGGGCGCAGGGCCACCACGCAGGTGGCGCACCGCGTGGGGCGCCTGCTTCAGGGCCCTGCGGGCAGGCCTGCTCAGCGCGATGCCAGGCCACCCTTGCCCCACGCGCCCTCGATGGATCCAGGGCGCGCGGGGATGGCGCGCGGCGCCGCCGAAGCCCAGTCGGGGCGGTCTCCAGCCGCCAGCTGCACGCAGCGGCGAGGGGGCGTAAGAAAGGCGCCGACGGCGCGGGCGCGTCGCCCACCGCGACGTCGCGAGAGCCTGGAGCGGCGCCCACCGCGAGGAAGCGGAGGGGCGTCTGGATTCCCAAGCCGCCGGCCCCTCGGGCGGCAGCACGCCCGAGCTTGAGGCAGAGCGCGGAAAGCGAGCATGCCACTGCCGGGCGCACGCGCCCCCCGTGTCCACCAGACCCACGCCCTCCAAACACGATGTTGACTGGAGAGGGGGAGGCGGAGGGGGGAGGGGGGCGGACGACGGTGCCGGCGGCGGCGACGACGGCGACGACAGACAAAGGCGGCACCACAGCAGCGACGGCGGCGGCGGCGGCGGCGGCGACGACGACGACCTCGACGACGACGACGAGGACGAGGACGAGGACGAGGACGAGGACGACGAGGACGACGACGACGACGACGACGACGACGACGACGACGACGACGACGACAGGGCGGCGGCGGCGGTGGCGACGAGGGCGGCGGCGGCGGCGGCGGCCCGCGCCTCCTCTGGCGCCGGGGCCGCCGCGGGCAGCGGCGGCGGCAGGAACACCTGCGCGGGCCGGGCGACGGGCGGCCGGCCGTGCAAGGCCGCGGCGGCCACCGCGGAGGGGCGGCGCGCAGGCACCGCGTGCTGCCCCACGGGAGGGTGCGCGGTCGGAGCTCCGCCCTCCCTCGCCCGCAGCGCTGCGGCGCCCGATGCCGCCCCCCTTCCCGCTCTCTGCGCACGCCGCCGCCCGCGTCCGCGCTTCTCCGTGTTCAGGGAGCGGCGGAGGGGCCATCGTCGAGGTCGTCGTCGTCGAGATTGTTGTGGTCATCGAGATCACCGTCGTCGTCTTCGTCGTCGTCGTCGAGGTCGTTGTCGTCGAGGTTGTCGTCGTCGTCGTCGTTGTCGTTCAGGTCGTCAAGGTCGTCGTCGTCGTGTTGTCGTCGTCGTCGTCGTCGTCGTCGTCGTCGTCGTCGTCGTCGTCGTCGTCGTCGTCGTCATCATTGTCGTCGAGGTCGTCGTCGTCGCCGTCGAGGTCGTCGAGGTCGTCGTCGTCGGCGTCAAGGTCGTCGTCGTCGTCGGCGTCGTCGTCGGCGTCATCGTCGCCGTCGTCATCGTCGTCGAGTTCGTCGACGAGGTCGTCGTCGAGGTCGTCATCAAAGTCGTCGTCGTCGTCGCGTCGTCGTCGCCGTCGAGGTCGTCGTCGGAGGTGGAGGAGCCCATGCGGTTTTTCGGTGGTATCTGGCGGGCTTGCAAGTGTTTTCGGCTGCCTTCGGATACGCAGAGTGTGCGGAACGAGGAATGGAGGGGAATCAAATAAGAGGGTCTGGCGCTGGAAACGGGGAGCACAGGAGCGGAGGAACAGAGTGGGGCAAGATGGGACGCACAGGGACACACTAGCTCTAGATGTCCTCCTGGGAGGCGCGTCCGACCCGAACATACAGTATAACCATATTTCTAGTACATCGCTTCCCGAGCGGTGTGGCCAGAAAGCGCCCGCCACGCCGCATATACTATGAGATTTCTCGGTGCGCGCAGCGCCCCTTGCGGGGCGACACACACACATAGTTGAAGGGGCCCTGGGACACACAAATAAATACACACAAATAGAGATATTCCCCATATTTTCCCATATTTTCTGGGTTTTTGTCTTCCCCACCACTTCCCATATTCTCCCATATTTTCTCGGGAGTCGACGATTAATTATGTCTGTGTGTTTCTTCCCCTCCTGAATAGTACTGGTATGTTGGGGGACGCCGCCAACGAGGCGCGAGGAGCAGGGAGGCCGGCGGTGCGGGGCAGGGCCAGCGGCAGCGAGCGGCCTGGGGCTTCCGGCGCGAGACGGAGGCGGCCAGGTTGGTCTTGTTCGGGTCCGCGAACCCGGGGGCCCCAGACGGCTCGCAGCCGTCCACGATCACCTGGCGGGGGGGAGGGGCTCCGCGTCGCCAAGCGCACCCGACCACCTGACCTGTAGCGCGCCAGGAGATGCGATGCCCCCCAGAGCACAGACGTTTATAGATCTGCCTGTGTATAAGCATATCTACACGTATACCTATACACATCATCTGTATATATATATATATACACACACGCACCGTAGCACCACGCAGTTGCGGATAAGAGTGAGGAGGCGGCGGGCACGTCGGCAGTCTGCGAAACTCTGAGGAAGCCCGCCGCCGGCGCAGAAGTTTTCAAACATTACGCGGCGAGCCCACCGCAGGCGCCGACTTTCTCGTTAAAGCAATGTGGGTGGGTCGCGGGTGGGTCGCGGGTGGGTCGCGGGTGGTTCGCGGGTGGGTCGCCGGCGGGTTGCGGGTCGGGTCGCGGGTGGGTCTCGGGTGGGTCGCGGGTGGGTCGCGGCGGGGGTCGCGGGTAGGTCGCAGATGGGTCGCGGGCCTGGTCGCGGGTGGGACGACAACAAACAACAAACAACGACCAACAACCAACAGATCCAACAAACAAAAGCAAACATCAGCATCGAGAACATTAAAAATGACAACAACAACAACAACAACAACAACAACAACAACAACAACAACAACAACAACAACAATAATCTTAAGACTGTTCGCCCTTATCTGCTCGAGTGTCCAATAAAGCCTATTTCCCAAACCCTCGATACCCGCCCTCTTCGTTTTCGATCGAACACCTTTTGGGGGGTATACCTTTCTTCCCTGCAGACCGGGCCCCGGCAAGCGGCGGGGCGGCCGCGGACCGTCGGCCTGGCCAGCGGCAGCGCCGATCGGCGGGGCGGCCGCGGACCGTCGACCCGACCCCAAGAAGGACGGACAGGGGACCGACCACGACGACGACGACGACGTCGACGACGACGACGGCGACGAGCGAAAGCGAGAGCGAAAGAGCACGACAGCAGGGCCACAAGGACACGAAGTAGGCCACGAAGGGCAACAGCGGGGACACGAAGGGAATGCGTATGGGGCCACGAAGAGCGCAAACGAGCGGGGGCCACGAAGGGCAGATAATGCGGGGCCACAGAAGGCAACGATGGGGCCACTGAGGGTAGCAACTGGGCCAAGTAGGACATATGCATATGGGGCCACCACGGGCGCGAACGAGCGGGGGCCACGAAGGGCACATATATGGGGCCACGAAGGGCAGCGAGGGAGCCACGACGGGATGCAACGAGGCCACGACGGGCAGCGAGAGGGCCACGAAGGCCTGCAACGGGGCCACGCAACAAAGCGAGGGGGCCACGAAGGATTGCAACGGGGCCACGAAGGGCAACGAGGAAGCCGCGGGGCCACGAGGGGCTGCAACGGGGCCACGAAACAAAGCGAGGGGACCACGAAGGGCTGCAACGGGGCCACGAAGGGCAGCGAGATCCCGATTCCGATGTAATCTGTGAGGGAGTCCTAAGCGTGAGCGCGACTCCTGGGTGCCTGGGTGTCGGGAGCGCGGCGCTTGAGTAAATTGCATGAAATTCCAACGCAAAGGCGCTATTCTTCAGTACATTGCAAGCAAGTCTCCAGCGAGAGCGCGATTCCAGAGCGCCGGGATAAGAAATTCTAAGGAAGTCCTAAACGAGAGCGCGGAAATAAAACGCGGGGAAGTCTCGGGCGGGAGCGGGGGTCCTGGCTAAATTGTGAGGAAGTCTCAGGCGGGAGCCGTTGTTGTTGTAAACCGGGGGCCAACGACACAGTTTGACCCTCAAGACTTTCCTTGATAAAAAAAGGGTGCGAGCCCCGGGAAGGGCACTTCAATCGAAAAAACAATGTGCACTCCACGGGGGGGATCAACATGAATTATCCTTCAGAAATGAGAGTTCAACAGCATCAGCAGCAGCAACAACAACAATCCGCAGCGCGGAAGTTCACTTCAGCCATGCGCCCAGAGACAGTGAATGACCGTTCGGCCCCCTCAGCATGATATACGCGTATTTGTTGACATCTTTACATACATACATCACTGTGCGTATACGGCGCGCTCGAAGAGCCCCACGCGCGCTACTCGCGCGTGCGTAGGTTCTCGCGCCGGCTAGCCGCACAACATGGATTAGTACCGCGACGGTCAGAGAACCAAGACAGACACATAATAGTGGCACGTACGTGCAAGCAATGACATTCGGAAGGCGTTCGACATGCTGGCAAACGTGTTGCAGTCTATGTGGTGCTACCTATGCGATACAAGGTGGTGCAATATATGTGGCGAGATATATGCAAACTACGCTGTGCGAGATGTGGCGCAATCTAGGTGATGCAATCGATGCTGTGCAATCGACGTGGGGCAATCTATGTGAAGCACATGTATTACGGAATCTCTGTGATGCAATATGTGATGTGCAACATATGGTGCTCAACTTGTTATGTTCAACATATGTTGTGAAGTATGTGTAGTACAGTGTATTGTGTGCTATCTCTTTGGAACAATATACGTGGCGCAATACATGTGCTGCAATCAACGTGGTGCAAACTATGCGGTGCAACGTAGGTTGTGCACTCTACACAGTGCAATATACGTGGTGCTCTCCATGCGGTGCTGTATCTGTGGTGCAAGATCTGTGGTGCAAACTACGCTGCACAATATATGCCGGGGCGGCGACAACGGCAACACAACCGCCAGACCGACAGACGGGCCCACACACGGGCGGCGACGAGGCGGCGGCTGCAGCATAGCCGCCAGACGGACAGGCAGGCCCAGGTGCGGGCGGCGGCGAGGCGGCGACAGCGGCGACATAGCCGCCAGACCGACAGGCAGACAAGCCCAGGCACGGGTGGCGGCGGGGCGGCGACGGGGAGGAGACGGCGGCAACACAGCCGCCAGACCTCCTCCGTCCTTCCCCATCCTCCTCTTCCTCCTCGTCCTCCGCCTCCTGCTCCTCCGTGTCCTCCTCCTATTCTTTCTCCTCCGGTTCGTCCTCGACCCTCGCCCTCTTGGGCTGAGACGCCTCACACAGCCCTTGATTCCACTGCGTGCTCCTCCACATCCCTGATCAGGGCAACTCGTCTGAGCATATTGTCTGGATGGGCTGGTGGGTTTACTTTTTGATTCGCGGCCCGCAAGGGGAAGATCAGAGGGCGGAGTGACCGAGGCTGGGGCACAGCGACAGATAATTGGCGCGTCAACGCGCAGAGTGCACCTGCAGATACCTAAAAAGATGACCACGGTTCAGCCCGCGGGTGGAGGCGAACCGAACGCAATCCCAGCCGCTGAGCATGTGTCAACAGAAGAAAGCAACTGCGGTGGGGACAGCTGAAGCCCAAGTGCCACCACGCGGACCCCGAAAGCCGCTGAGCGTGTGCCAGCAGAAAAGGGCCAAGCGGAAACAGGTCGGACCCGCAGGTGGAGTACACTCTGGTGTGTTTACGCGAAGCGTCAACAAATTACGGTACTGTGTACTCTCGTTATCTCCCTTGTTCTCTCTCTCGTTCTCTCACTCTCTCTCTCTTTTTCTCTCTCTCTCTCTTTCTCTCTCTCTCTCTCTCTCTCTCTCTCTCTTTCTCTACTCACACATCTATGAATATATGTACATCGCAATACATCTACCGCATCTCTCTCTCTCTCTATCTCAGTGTTGCTCTCTATCTCTCATCTTCCCTCCCTACTTGCGTCCTCGATTGCCGAATAGTTGTCCTCCTCTTCCCCCTCCTCGCCTCGCCCTATCCAGATCTGTTTCGCGTTCTCGGGATCTCTCTCTCACTCTCTCTCTCTCTCTCTTTCTCCCCCCCCCCCTCCTCTCCTCTCCTCTCCTCTCCTCTCATCTCTCTCTCTCTTTCTCTCTCTGTCTCTCCCTCCCTTTATATCAGGGCGGCCCCCCTTGTGGGGCCATCAGGCTGCTGGAATTAGGCTTGCTGCTCACTGCTCCAGGTCCAGCTTCAAGTCTCCCATGTTACAATCCTAAGTGCTACTTCCTACTGTAAATTGTAATAACCCGCGTGAGAGGGGGAAGCCCCAGACCGACATTTTACCACGCCACGGCAGGGTGTCCCTGGTATTCCACGGGGGGCGCGTGGGACACATGATAATGTATTGAATTCGCACCCCCGATGCTACGATCACCCGTGAATCACTCGGTATTCGCGTCTCCGAAGCCAAGATCGATCTCTCGCAAATCATACAACACCAGCGCCACCGAGGCCACGATGCTTGTAAATAATACAATGCTCGCGACCCCGAGGCCACGATCCTTTGTAAATTGCACTATGTTCGCGTCCCCGATGCTGCGTCTCTTTGCAAAGTACTGGGCACTCGCGTCCACGAGGCCACGAACAAACAAAAGCACGTGCCCCCGGGGCACCGATCTGTTCTGTAAATTGCTCCATGTTTGCGTCCCAGGGGCCACGACTCCTCGCCAATTGCAAAAAGTATTTGCGTCCCCGACCCCACGATCGTTCTGCAAATTCCGAGGGATTCGCGTCCCTGGGGCCACGATCCCTCGTAATGACCCTATGTTTGCGTTTCCGAAGCAACGATCCCTTGCAGATCATGCCGTAGTTGCGTCCCCGAGACCACGAACCCTTGTAAATTACACCATAATCGCGTCCCCGAGACCACGTTCCTTAATAAATTATACCATGTTTGCGTCCAGCAGGCCACAATCCTTCGTAAGGTACGCAATGTTCGCGTCTCCGAGGCCACGATCCATTTCAAGTTACGCAATATTCCATCCCCGAAGCCACCATCCCCCGTAAAACATACTACATTCGCGTGTCCCAGGCAACGATCCCCCGTAACACCAAATTCGCGATCCGGAGCAACGATCCCTCGAACATTACGCCATATGCGCGTCCTGGAGACCACGATCCTTTGCAACGACCTCTCGTATGCGCAATGCTCGCGTCGATGCCACGATCTCTTGTGAATTACACCGTGCTCGCGCCCCCGAGCCCACGACCCTTGCAACGCCACATTCGCGTCCCCGAAGCCACTGCCCCTGGCATGCTACCGAGAGAAACCCCGAGACCCGTCCGAGCCGCGCAACGTTGCCCAACTCAGCCTCCAGCAGCCCCCAGCCGTTCCAAGATGGTCTCCAGTGCACAGCGCGAGCGGGGGAGTTCGAAAAACGACAACCCAGAGTTCAGACTACACCGGCGTCCAAGCACACCAGCGTACCCTCGCGCTGCGTATGGGAGACCATGGGATGCTCAACCTATACGGTGCGGGAGTCTCCAATACACAGCGCCAGGGGGAGCTCAGCCACATCACCTGGAGCTCAAGGTGTCCTCAGACTACACTTGGGGATGGACAGACCCCCTTTAGTAAAACGTGGTTTAGTGAAAACGACCTGAGGCCCAAACCTGGCGGGCGCAAGCCTGGAAAATGACGGCCGCGGCGCCCTCTCGAGAACCGAAAACGGACCATTCACTAATCGACGTGTTACTGTTGGGGGTTCTGCCTACCCCCGAAGTCTCCAATACACAGCGCCAGGGGGAGCTCAGCCACACCACCTGGACCTCAAGGTGTCCTCAGAACTACACCGAGGCGCCCGAGCACACCAGAGCGTCACTCCGGCAGGCCCCACTCCGGCACCGAGTGGGGGCCGGCGGCAAAGGCCCGAGCCCCATACGGAGAGAGTGCACCTCGCACTCTTCGGTCTCGCTGCCTCTCTCTCCCTCTCGCCCTCCCCCCAGTCCTCCCTCTCCCTCTCTCTCCCTCCTCCTCTCCCTCTCCCTCTCTCCCTCTCTCCCTCTCTCCCTCTCCCTCTCTCCCCAGTCCTCCCTCTTCCCTCTCTCTCCCTCTCTCCCTCTCCCTCTCCCGCCCCACAGTCCTCCCGGATCGCCGAAGAGACATGCTCGCGACAAGCAGCCACACGACACCCGCAGCTAAAAGCCTGCGCCCGCATTGCAGCTGAGCGCGCAAAGGTCGAATCGGATCCAGCGTTGCCAGCCTCGGTCATTCCAGCTACCCTACGCTCACTCCTCGTCCTTCTCTCCGTCCACCTCGTCCTCCTCCTCATCATCCTCATCCTCATCCTCATCCTCATCCTCCTCATCATCATCATCATCATCGTCATCATCAGCATCAACATCATCATCATCATCATCATCATCATCATCATCATCATCATCATCATCATCATCATAATCATCATCATC